TTGAAAAAAGGCAAAACTTGACACAAATTTCCGAGAAAGGCAAAACTTCCAATAAATGTTTGAAATAAGCAAAATAGGCAAAAAAAAGCAATTTGTCTTTAATCCGAGCTTTAATTATCATTCTCAGCGCATCTACACATCCGATTATGTCGTGCATCTCAAATTCTTCCCTTAATTGTTAGTTTCTCTCTGTGTCTCTGTAATGCTTTTAGACATTTTCATTCCTTTTGTCAAGTTTGCAACACACCAATCTTTTTGAGGCCACAAAAGTTTTAATTTTTGTAATAAACATTGTATGCTAAAGATTTGAGTTTTTGCCCAGAACGAATGTAGGAACCGCTAAATCGCCTTCGAGACTAGCATTATGTTCATTTTTCCTGTCGGGGGCCAAATATTATCCATTACATCTCAGTTCTTTTTCGGTTACTTGTCTATCGAGTCCTATCTGATATTCCTGAACTGTTTTCGCAACCTTATTTATGCTCGTATTAAATCTTTTCAATCAGCTCGAAGCAATTTACGTCATAACGCACCTCGATTTCAAATATGCTCAATCCATATCGAACAACCAAAAATACAATAGGAAAAAACACCTAAATAAGGCCAAACTCATTGAAAACATTTATTGAACGCTCCCCTGCAAAATTTTGGATGCAAATATTCCTGTTGCACAATTGAAACTGCAAACTATTCAAGCAAATTGTTTACTACCTTCACAAATAAAAAAAAGGAAGCCGTAACTCTCATTATTGCAATTTTGTTGACATCGTGCTTTAAATTAATAAAGCTCAACTAAATTATTACATTTCAAACTCACCAACATTTAATGCCTTTTAGAAAAGTTTCATTTATAATCCGATATTCCATAGAAAATAATATTAAATCGTAGCGGACATACCTTCAACATTTAATTTAGCCCTAGAGGTAGCTGAATTCTATTAACGCCTATTCAATAAACTTCTGCATAAAATAATCGTCTTTTGGCACGAAGTATTTTTGAGAGACGTTATTGGCAAAATTTAATTGTCGATGTAATTAAAACTAGTTGCAGCGCGCTCAAAACCGCATGGTCATATTATTAAGAGTCATATAATTGAAAATTCGCTTTAATTAAGAATTCAGTGCGACTCTGCAAAAAATGTATTGTACTATCTTGCAGTGCGGGCTCTGAATAGAAAACTGGATTATGCAGTATTTAATAAAGGATTCAGTAATGTGTATTTTATCAGGATCGATACAATGGTTAACAAGCTTGTTTATAGCAAGATATTTTATTATGAAAAGATTTGCTATATATGAGATGTTACTAGTCTTGTTAACAATCTTGCCAACGAACTCCCCACTGATATGATACGGCAGAAAAATCGTTAGCAATTTAAATGACGAATTATTTTTGCGATGGATTTAGGGCATATTAGATTTAATATGTCTTTGAAAAAAGAAAGCACATAAAGTAGTGTAATTATTAAATTAATTCTTCGTGAAATCAAAAAATATGTTTGACTTTAGGGTACATAAAAAAATGCAATTGAACGTCAAAAAATTATTATTCAATGTATTGCTTCCAACCGACTGGAAGCTCCCCAATATAAAGATAAACATATACAACAAGCTGGTGTTTATAATATAGAAAATGTAGTCGGTTGAAAATCGTATGGCTTTGGCAGGCAGATCCTACCTGTCTTGGGCACAAAAATAAATACGTAAAATAAAAAAATATATACGAAAAATTGTCAGTAAAATGAAATTTGGAGATTTTTGTTAAAAAGTGTATACGCGTTTATATTTGAGACGTTTCGTGAGTAAAATTTAACTGCTACAAATGAATTACAAGCAAAATTATTAATCGGATTTATTTCATCAGAATAAAAAAGATCCGGTGTATTACAGGTGCATGAAAAACAATACCATTAAGGACTCTTTATTTATCTTTAATCACGATTACAATTTTCACTCCATCGATCTACAATACTGATTTAACACTGACTTAAAGTTTTTATAAATCACATTCTACAAAATGTCGTGCAACAGCAATGACTCGTTCCATATATTCAGGCTTCAAAGTGGTTTTTTTTAGAGTCTGGCATACTCCAAAGTCAGCAGTATCCTCCTTATCAATGAAAGAGTACATGGCGATAAAGGGACTCAAAATTGCTCCATATACAGAATATTTGTTCCAGTGGTTTTTTAACGTCCGGAACGGGAAAATTTTCTCCGGGTTGCTTCCCAATTTTTTAATATTATGCGACAAATGGAAATAATAATGGTCGAGTAATTCTTTGAATCGATCCAGTTCCGTTTCGGATGCCACACAATAGAGAAGAAGGCTCAAGTCGAATACAGGACTACGCCATGAAGCCATTTGAAAGTCTAGAAGCTGCACTTCGATACAGATGTTTGATTTTAAGTCCCCATCCTAAAATAAGAATTAATACGCTCATTTTGCAACAATTTATTTCCTTTGAACATTAGGAGAAAAATTCATGGTGAAAAAGTAGATGAATAACCATGCATAAAACTGAGTCAAAGTCAACTAAATGGTGCCATTATTAAGAAATGTGAAACTTAGCAAAATGTCTACTCATATGATGTAATTCTATGTTAAACAAATTTACACATATTTGACGCATTATTCAGCAGCTTCATTTTTGGTCTTTAAATAAACCACCCTGTAACTTGCATCATTTTCGAAATATATCAATCTTAATACTGCAACCTGCTCATTTAACACTCAATAATTGAATTTGACTTCAAACATTGGTGATTTCTACCCAAGAAAATGTAACTTTATTTCCAGAAAAAGATGTTCACTTAATGCAACTAGAGCGTCGAAAAAGAAATTATTTCAAGCTCGACTTAGCTTGTGAAATATAAATACACATTTTCTCCTTCAAATAGTTCTTTTATATCGTAAATTAAGATGGGAGACAACCTATAAATTCAGTTGTTCAGTTTATTTTCCTGATGATTTTACAAAACCCTACTACTTACGCGGTATTTGAACAAAAAATTATTATTCCAACAGTCGCCATGCAATATTACGGCCGCATTTTCATTTATTTCCATTAAATCCATTAGAGCTGTTCTGGCATTAGCGTTACAAATTTTCTGTTGAAATTTTTGGAGCAATTCCATTTCGTCGTTTTCTTCCAATATGGTGTACAATGCGTTTTGACCAATATCAATCATTTCGCCCAATTGGTTTGGGAAATAGTTCTTCCAGGGATTGGACAAAAAATGGCTTTTGATTTCGAGAAATTCGTCGTCTTTTTGATCGTACAGAGCGAAAGAAAGAGAGTGCCATTGCGCATAAGCTTCCAGTATCAACTTTATATGATTCACGTCCATGGCTCTTTTTCTGTTATGTGTGTGATATCCCATAATTTTTAAGTTTTCAAGAACAATGATTTCATCATTGTTTGAGAATTTTGTTAAGAAGCATTTCGGTACAATCGCTAACGGTGAAAGGTTCTTCTGCTGCTGAAACCTTTGATAGCAGGGAACGAGCTGGAAAAGGACTGAAATTAAGTAAGGTGACCCACGTTCACAATATAAAATATGTCTTACTTTGGAATAGACTTCAATTTCCCTTTCAAACCCTTCTCTAATTGGCACTTTACTTTTGATGTTTTTCTGCGTATGACCATATTTTAGCACCAAATTATACATACGTTTTTCAGCTTCAAAGTTTTCCGCTGATATATCAATAAAAGCGATATCACTTCCGTACTGTTCAATTTTATCTTCGGACCCGTATATTTTCAAATCGTATTTTTGGATATTTTCATTTTTCAGAGCTTCAACACTAACGCACTTGAACAAATCGGTCAGAAGGTCTTCAGTTGTAAATTCATTTTCAGCGGCCATTGGTATGAGTTTGACTTAAGTTGTTGCAGGAAAGTGTCAGTATGAAGCTGTTTATAGCCGTTTAGTGACTAAATTGTCCTCAATTAAAAATTATTAAGCGATAAGTCCTAACTGGATATTAATTGATTCAATTTTATTGCGCTGAACCCAATGATATTATGTTGCTTGTTTATCTGGAACAACCAGTGGCGTGTACGAAATTATCTTTAAATAGTGGTGTAGAAAAACTTTAATTGAAAACGTCGAAAATCATTAACTTAATTATTATTTTTTAGCTTAGATGCAAGCAAACATAACAATTGCGAGAAGTTTCAGGGTTACTATTCTTTGAGCTCATAAGGAAAACTGTTGTGCACGTATTATTCCGAAGATTTTTCTGGCAGCAAATATTTCCCCCAACATTAAAATGCATCCCTTTAATTGTTCCAAATTTAATCTGGTGTTTATTTTATGTTTGAACAGGTACCAAAAAATATAAATTTTATAATTGGGAATTTAAGGAATAAACTCAAAACCAAAACTAGATATTAACTTGAATAAATTCCCATAAAATTAAATTTTGAAATATTACACGGAATCATTAATCTAGTCGATTCAACATGATTGAAAATATATTACACGCACCGCTCTGAAACGAATATGGTTACATTTGTGTCTCCCATAAAACAATTTGAAAACTCCATTTTAATTAAACTAGAATCTGTCGTTCCATTTTTTAAATTGTTGTTGGAGACAATACATCAATTTACCAATATCTCTTTTAGTGACGTATTAATTTTACTTCTTCAATCGCGCTACGTGACTAAGTAACAGCAAGGTATCGTTAAATGTTTGTTAGCTGTTACGTTAGACTTAAGTAAAAATATGTGCTGTACCTACATTAAAAATATATTTACTTTTAATCAAGAGATGTGCTTCTTTTATGAATAATGCCAGAACTTAATATCTTGCCTATATGAGAAATACATGAGGTTTATAAATGTAGGTTACTGAAATCTGCAGGAGTGTGTTATTTGTTTATTATCCTCAACCCTGCTAAAGGTAGAATTTATTTAGCAGACAGACCTCAAGCAATTAAATTAGTAGATTTCAATTAAGATGAAAATTTTACTTGCATTCAGATACATTGTATGTAAATGTATAGATAATGAATTTAAGAATATCGCCTCAAACCTCGGATCAAACAGATGCTTTATGTTCTTGCGAGTATACCCTTAAAACATGATTGTGTATCCTTTGTAAGTTACAATATGGAACAACTTTCAAGCAAATTTCGGCAAACAACTTCCACAAGATAATTAGCCAGTTCATATAAGATCAAACGAATCATTATTTCCCACATGTGCTCTTAGTGATGCCTAGCAAACTTCCCTTAGAACATAGTTCTAAAAAATTGCTTTTTTAATTCAAAAATTGTTGAAACATTCTTTATATTTGAAAGGTCTTTTAAATGGAAACGATAGTTATCAATTTGAAGGTCAAATATTATGTGTTTCTTCCAAACAGTGCATTTAGTATTAGTATCTTCAAGCTAGAAAGTGGTCGTTCAACGCTAAGAAGGGTTTATACACCATTAGCAGCGTTGATTTCTGCCTCGCAAATTCCCTTATTAAGTAACAGTCTGGTTTATTATTTTCTGTCATTAATAATCTTTTTTAGAGAGTTGATCAATATGAAGTTGCCATTGTAGGCACTTCTGAATTTTCATGTCCAATTACGTTAAATGTTATGTTGTCACAATGTACCATTACAAGTCAGCATTTCTCATCAAGTCGAAATACATCCAATATATTTTTTAAAGCTTTACATAACTTTACATCAGATTTATATGAAATACACACGTCTGAAAGAAAGTTTTCACTGAGTTTCCACATAGACAGAAGCATTCAACAATGAGTTTATACAGGACACAGAAACCGTTTCCTAAAAAACTTCTAAGTACTTTTCAATTGACTTTCCAAAACAATGATATTCGTAGAGAGGTACTTATTTATATCTGTTTCAATTTGGGCACTCATATGTGCTTACTTATGTATTTCCATAATTTATGACCAAATATTATTATTTAATTTATGCGATATTTTGCCAGAAATAAATATTATCAGTATTTTTCATATTTGGCCAGGAAGAGGGCTGATCTGAAACATATTGGCTTAAAATTCAAGATTTTTTCTCCTAGAAAAACATTCGACAAATTTATTTTATTTACGATTATAATATTTGCTGTAAATTCATGGATTTATGAAACACTAAAATAGCTTACAAATAATAACATACAATTACAACTAAATTTTAAGTAGCATTTTTTATTTTAATGTATTTTTAGTTCATATTTTAATTCACAGTCAATTTCTAAGTATATTTTATATAACTTGTGCTGGATATCTGAGGTTTTTTTTTAATGACTGAAATATTAATTTGCTTTATAGATTTCTGTTTTTTTTAATCTGATATCTAACTTGTTGCCTTGTGCGCCTAGATTTATATTTTTAAAACCAACTTATTTTTCTTCCAGGCTCTTTTTGAGGCAACAAAATCGTTAAATCGGCTCGCGGATCCATAAATATTTACAATTTTTTTAAAGTTGGAAATGAAACTTATGCATTGGCGAAAGGGTGATATTTGAAATTGCGTTAGGTTTACTTCATTTTCCTGTGCAGAAAATAATATCTATAGATAACAGTAGAGAAAATATTTTTACATGTCGAGTAAGTGATTTGGAAACTTTAAATGCATTGGCTTTATAATATTTGCAACACTGTCATATTCTGCCGAGCGATTGTTCTTAACAAATTTCTAAATTTTCCATTGACTTCATCTTATAAGTCGCATTCTCAATTTCAATATACAATCAATGCAAAAATTGTCTATAAATGTTTTAATATTGTTAATTTAATTTACATCATCAATATCAGTTTTTGTGGAAGTATTTATGTTAATTCGAGTATCAAAGTTTTGGTTCCAAAAGGTTTGTTCTACCACGTTAGGCAGGCAACTGGTTGTTTTATGTCTGCACTAAAGCAGAAAGGCAAACAAAGCGCATGACGATCTTCAATTTCCACAAAACAACTCTTGAGTTTAGTTTTAGGGAAAAACAATCTGGCAATGGGCAAAGATGGTAACAAATCGCACAACGGAATCGACCAAAATAATCCGATAAGAATCAAAATACTCCATTAAAATAAAATTGCAGAATTATCCAACGTGAAAACTGCAACTTCCTAAACAGCATGATTTCCCGATCAAACCCACTGCTTCAAATTTATTCTAAACAAATAGAAAACGTTCATTGCAAAACCAACAGCCAGTCAGCGTTAACCAATATCGACAAATTTTCAATTTGGTGTTGCTCGATCGCCATTTTTGTTATTCGTTTTGGGCGCTTGGGGAAATATATTGAACACTATGTTAGTTTTATTGTTCGGCATAATGACGGGTTAGTTTCAATTGAATGCGAAATTGCTTTTATCGTGGTTTTAACTTTTTTGCGTCGTGAATATGCTCACGGTAACGCTCGTTATGAGCGGGAAATAGTTTAGCAGGAAAATAAGCAAAACACGAACAGTTTATCGAAATAAAACTGATTTTTACCAATACGTAAACCAAGAAGTAATATTTACTGCCCTTAATATATACAGAGGGCTAAAAGTAGTTTGGAGGCTTGACAAAGTATAAAGAATTATTTTTGATTTGTCATAGTTGAAAACCCAAGTATGATTCGTTCTATTCTTCTGGCCTTTTGTTCATTACAAAATGGTTTTTGATGACGAGTTTTTAGACAATTTAGCTCAAAAAATTTCCGCTGGAAAGCACTTTATCTTAATCGAAAGTTTAGTTTTTCTAAACGTTTTCTCGTCCAAAACAATTACAAATATCATTATTATTTCGGTAAATGGAATCTAATTATATTTACTTCGTATTGTGCAGAACATTAAAAAAAAATTGTAGTCAAATAACTGCAAAACGAAAACCAAGAGCAAAACTTATACTACAAAAACCTGCTCATTCCCACTTTAGAGATTATTAAAAAAATCCACTCTGAGTCTTGAAAAAGGCTATTATTAAATTGACTCAACTTAAATAGTAAAATTCTAGCAAAATTCATGATAAGGATATAAGTAAAAGCAAACAACTCGCGAGATTTTTCTAGACTTGTTCAATAATTAAACCGTTATGTGTGCTAAGCAGAAATTACATTTCTATTTGCTTGTACACGTTAGCGTCAATTACAAAATAAAATTAGATTTTCAACAAGCTGTCTGTTACTCTAAGTTGAAACAACCATTATTTAAATACACCTTTACAATGCAATTAATTTCAATTGCATGTATAAACAGACAATTCCTGAAATATTCTATTTCACGACTGCATGAACATCATTATACCACGGTTCACTCAACTGAAACGCCTCGAAACTGCATAATCAATTTAGTGGCAGATAAAATCGTAATAATTTTGTGTCAAATTAGGCGCAATTTTTTCGGGCAACTGGAATCGATAAAAACGTGATATTTCCAACGAAATAAAACGGCCATATTTCACTTCTCCGTATCATATGTGCCAATTAGCCTCTCGCGTTTTAATGGAAAAGCGAAATTTTGATCTGGAAAGGCATTCCAGGGCCAATGGATTCTAATTATACTTTTAACTCATGCACACTAGTTATAATATTTACTTCATAGTTCTAGGTATTTGCAGAATTACATTGCTGACATACTTTTAAATGTGTCCATATTCATATAGATCAAACACAATATTCAATCGTAAGTTAAATAATATAGATATATATTCTATTAATTTGTACTATTTTTTTTTGTTAAACGAAATAAGCAAACACGTATTGAGAGAAATGTTTCCAAATGCATCGCTGCAAATTGCTAAGACAAACATTATAATCAAATTACACGTTGCATTCGTGGCATCACGAAAAAACTTTAAAAGCGAATGATCCAACTACTCAATAACAACTAGTTTATCTGTCCTATCAGTTCGCTTTGAAGAATTTAGCTCGAACAAGATCAGTTATAGAACTGATCATAATTTTCCAATATGCGAAATCAATCTGAAAGCAACATTTGATACTTTTTAATTTTA